CGAAGGGAGCGTGAGTGGCACCACACTCCGGATCAGACAATGGTCCGAAGAGCCGAGAGGTGCATCGACGGAAACCTGATATCCGTCCGGATGAGAGGTCAGCAGAAGGTCCAACAGGGAAGGTGTATGATCCTCCACATCTGGAATCCGCGTAGGCGAAGTAACCAGTTGTGTCAGACCATATGCCAAGGCAAAGTCATAAACAGATCTCCCCGCATGATCGGTTAGACGTGAACCGAGCCATTCGGCATGGTGGGCGTTAAAATCGCCAAGGATCACGATCTCTGCGGATGGGACCTGTTGTAGCAAGAAATCTGTAGCCATTTGGACGTGGTCGATGAGTCGGTCTGTTTCGGCATTACCGCTATGGGACCTATAGAGGCACCCGTAGACGCGCGGATGGTCGTCGCTGTCTACGCGTAGCCAAAGGATGGACAGGTCCGAACCTTCAAGACTGCCGAGGCGTCGAGAACACATGTCCTCTCTGACATACACGCAAACTCCAGCCCGAGGCACAAAGGAATGCTCCAATTTGTACCCCGGGTAGGAGAGTTTACTCGGGAGTGAATGGAAGAGGTTCTTGAGGGCGATGACAAAACGCTTGAAGTTGAAATTCTTAAAGTCGATGTTTCCGAAAGTGTCAGGTTGCGTGCTCATTTCACGTGGGGGTTACCACTTTGGCCTTGCAACAGAAAAGCTGAACTCTAACGCCCGACTAGGCATTCAATCCGAGGAGCGGCCGACGTTCTGTGTGGTAGTCTGGTAGTACAGATCTGTTATATATACTAGCTGACCCGGCGAACTTCGTACCGCCTAACAGTCGATTTTTTTTAATTTTTATATTTTGTTAATACTTATTCTGCTATTCGGGACACCGGGTTCAGCTAGTAAGATAAAAAAAGAAAAAAGGAAGTTGATAAGTCAACAATTACATTATGTCAAAAAATAAAAATTATGAAACATTTAAAATTCTTTTAATAGTCACTAAAAATCACAATGAAAATTACAATTTCTGATTTCTTATTATGATACCTACTTATTATATTTAATTTTTTTACTTATTCTAAATTAGTTTTCATTTTATTGTAGTACTTTATGGTACACGATTTGTTTTGTTTGAATACCTGGCGCGTAAACATACAGAGCAGATGGTTTTCCAACACGGGAACAGGCAACATACAATTGACCATGCGAGAAACATGGGCTTTCTTAATACCAAAAACACTATAGAATGCCCCTGGCATTTGTTTATAGTCATAGCGAAAGCAAGCCGTACTGGAAACTGTAGTCGCTTAAACTCGAATGGTACGTCAGTCGGAATCATTGAGATGCGGGGTATCAAAACGATTTCTCCTTTATACTTTCCTTTCAATTTGATTGTTTCTTTTACGTTATTCAGTAATTTTTTATCGCTAATCGTGTGCCGTTACAAAGTTGCGGTTGGTTAATATTTTGCGACATTATAACTACAGATCCAACCTTTAATTGAAGATTGTGAGGCGGCAGTCCTGGCAAATCAAGTGAGTTTAATAGTAAGTTACAAACACACAACACTTTTTTAATTTTATATAAAATTGTGGCTTTTAGATTAAGTAATATTAATTATAGATGCACAGCAAAGAGACGTTTACATTCCAAGTGACATTTTACCACTGACAATTTATATATTTATTTATTTCAGGCAGATCCCATATGAGTTTTTAACAAATTAAAATTATAGCTAGGGTTATTAAAAATACATATCTATAAAAACAACAGAAAAGTTCAAACAGTTGTAAGATAGATCTACACAACAACATATTATACACTGTTATGCTGCTGTGTGGACCCGCACCCATGCTTGTAGAAGTGGCAAGTCCCACTGATCAACGAATACCCCAAGAATACTGTTGGTGCTGTTCCGCAAACGGGTCAGCGCGGAGGCACACCGCCTCCTAACTATCGCGGTGAAGCCTCTCAATACGGCTCTCAGCAAATTTATCAATCAATTTTACCATATACAATTTGTTTTTGAGTAATGTTACTATCGTATAAATATTGACATCAATATTTATATGATACTAACGTCACTCAATTGTTTTGCCTTCCCGGAACCCCTCCACTAACACTTAAAATTTATGGTATGGTATTAAATTTCAAATTGACTTTTAATTATTATTACGAATCTTTTGTATGGGAATATAGAAAAGTGTTGTTTTTAGACTATTTCAGGCAGTTTTTTAAACTTTTTTCTCCGTAAGAACCATCTTCATACTTCAAGGAATATTATAAAAAAAGAACTAGCGAAATCGGCTCAGCTGCTCTCGAGATTTGCGCTTAGCAACACATTCAGCGATTAATTTTTATATTATGAAAATATATCTGAGTAGTTTGGGAACTTCGATAGCGTGATGTGGCCCCTCTACAACTAAATTACAACAATGCCAATTTTAAAGTAAAATTTTGGAATAATAATTTTTTAAAGCTTTTGACCGCTTTTCTTTTATGTTTAAAATGTGCTGAGTTCAATCCTCTATATCTGAATAAAGCTAAAAGCTGAGTAAGATAAGAGCTCGGTGCAATAGCATGGGAATTAATTTACGATGAGTGGTTTCTTGGCACACTTAAGTTACTTAAAGATAAAAGTATATCTAAGGTTTCATTGGAAAATTTATGAAATGTTTTCTCATAGGCATTTTTAAATTTAGAGAATTAATTTTTACTTAATTTTTCTAATTGGAAATTATAACCTGATCTTGGTAATGATCAATTCCTAATATGAAAATATCAATGTGCGCGTAAAGGGAGAGTAGAGTCTTGTTGATTACCACTGTTTTTCGTTGTATTGCTATTGACGCGAAGCTGCATTGGGGCCCCAATATGTCTAAATTAGCAGGCAGCTTTAGATAAGTAGCATATGCTGTAAGAAAGATTAGAAGTCTCACCAATGTTGAGACAGCTAGATTAGTCATAGTTACTTTCATGTCTTATGAAATTTTGCTATGGGGTAATACGACTGACATTGAAACGATATTTGTTTTGCAAAAGAGAGTCGTACGGGCGATTTACAAGTTAAATTGTAAATACTTCCTTAGAGAAAAAATTAAAGAAATAAACATATTAATTTTGGCATAGTAATATATTTATGTATTTATGGAAAATGTAATGAATGTACATAAAAGCATAAATAGCTCTGATAAGAATAAAAATGTTCATACTTTAAACACTAGGAAACATAAGCTTGTAATATCAGGTACTAGACTTCACAGAATTAGTTATTCATTTATGGGGCAATGTATACGCTTTTACACCAAATTCCAAAAAATGTATAAAATTTGTCAATAAAAAAGTTTAAATGTTTTATTAAAGAAAATTCTATACATAAATGAAAATAACTCCTGGGAATGAGGTGATCGCCACCATATTGGTTCTATAATTTTTTTTTAAACTGTCACCCGGCGCGTTGCTGCCATAGAAAAATATTGTCGAAATATCGTATTAAATTTGGTAGAGATATATTGTTTAATTAGGAATGACAATAACTACATTGATTGAAATTGGATGATGTATAACTTTCAAATAAATTTGTCAGTACGATACGTGCGCCACTCATTGTAAGTTAAAAGTAACTAGTTTAAAGTACTTCGCACAAGTGCAAGCAATAAGTTGGTGCATTCTGATGAAACGTTATAATAATAATAATAATAGGATGATTGAATTAAGAAGATTGCGCAAAGGGCCGCTACCTGGAGGTAGCCAGGGCGCGTCTGGAGCTGGCACTGGACGCGACAGCATGCGAATCGCCAGCTGAGCGCGAGGAGCTGCACGACCACCCATCAGCCCCTCGCATCCATCATTCCCACCAGCTGGCTTGGTGTTGGCAGGGCCTTCGCGGGCCCAGCAATAAGCACCCGCCACTAGTGGAGTACACCGCATGCGTTTGTCAATGAGATGAACAGCAACGCATTGCGGGCGTATTTTAGGGCGAAGGGGGGAGAAATTGGAGTTTTTGCGTATCGAGCTAGGATGCATCGACTTTTTGCTGAGTTGGAGCCATCTATAACCGTCACCGAGTAAAACCTGACCGAGTTCGGTACATCTTGCGCTCAAACATATTAGATAGCACCGAACTCGAACGGCTATGACGTGAGGCTGTACCCTCATCGAATGAAAATGCTACAGCTGAGGATGCGGCGCCACAAGTTGCAGAGCAACCAGCACACGTGGATGCCGCCGTGAATCTTTCAATTGTGGTTGGTTCAGACGATGATGGAACAGTCGCCCAGCGACTAGAACTAGAGCAAATGAGGAGTACATTGGAAGAGGCTATTTTGGAAACGCGAAGTACGCCTCTCGAAAATCGACCGCGACTTCCCCGCATGCCCTTAAGCAAGCGGAATCGGGCTGTCGTGAGGGCTCTCAACCCAATGCTGGTGACCTATTTGGAAGCCAGCCGGGACCTTTGCGAGACGGACTCAATTCTCTTTGACGCCGCACTGGCAGTTTGCCGTATTATTGGTGTCAAACTTCCCACGGCTGGACGGGCTACTAGGCAAAGTAGCGCTATCCCAGCCTGGAGAAGAAGGATTGAGGACCGCATCGCAAAGGCAAAGGCCTTCATCGGCAGACTGATAAGCTTCAGGTCGGGCAATAATAGGCCGAGAATTGTGCGCACCGTCAGGATGGCGTTTGTGGGGACAAATATCAGTTTGTTCCATCCGGATATAACGCAAAAACTGACGGAGCACATAGACGACCTGAAGCAGAGAATCGCTGCTTGGGGGAAGCGGATTCGGCGATATACTGAGAGGTCGACACGGTACAACCAGAATCGTCTCTTCCAGAGTGATCAGAAGAGGCTCTGTGAATCATTGGAGCGGCCAATGGTACGTGGAACGGGCCCAGCAACGAATCAGGCCGACACTGTCGCATTCTGGCGCGGCCTGTGGTCAGAGCCCGTAAACCACAGCGAGGGTCCTTGGACGTAAGTTGTGAGGAGTCAGTGTGCGAATGTTATGCCCATGGACCCCATCATCATAACGCCGGATGACGTAGCTGAGGCAGTCCGTAGGGCCCCGAACTGGAAAAGTCTGGGACTCGACGGACTGCATCACTACTGGCTGAAGGGGTTCGTGGTGTGTCACGCTGTGCTCGCCCGACAGTTTCAAGAGGCTCTCGACCAAAAGACGCTTCCGAGCCTCTTCACTACTGGGATCACTCATTTGGTTCCTAAAGACCGGGATTCCACAGACCCGAGCAAATACCGCCCCATTACGTGTCTACCCATCATATTTAAGACACTGACATTCATTTTGAGTACACGAATCATTCGTCACTTGGATTTAAACCAGGTGATGTCGCGTGCTCAGAATGGATGCCGGGGCGGTGGTCGTGTAACCAAGGAACCACTCCTCATTGACGCGGTCATTGACAAAGTGGTTAAACGCAACCGTCGGAACTTCTCCGCCGCCTGGATAGACTATAGAAAGGCATTTGACTCGGTGCCCCATACATGGCTAAAGAGGGTCCCCGAGGTGCACAAGGTTGATTGTACAGTTAGAGACTTCCTCGGGCAATATATGGGGCAGTGGAGTACAGCCCTTTGTCATCTAGGCGAGCAGATGACGGAGCGTTCAGTTCGGTCTGAGTCCACCTGAGTATGCCAAAGGTATACATGAGAACAGGCATGATCCAACCGTTATATGCGTGCGTCTTATTCACACCGGACAAAAGGCTGCTAAGCACTTTGGTCAAGGGTGCATAAAACACATCGCAAACTGACTGTTTCATACCTGCCTCATCTACACCGATGTTCTGTGACATATCCAGGTATCGGTATGTTTCAGCCTCGGAAAGGGTCCCTATGTTGATGGCATAGATAAGTCTATGCCCTCAGAGTTAGTAACCCTTCCCCTTTCAAAATGGAGGACCGCACACTTATCCGTCCCCAGCTCCATTCTAATAGAACTACTGAAATCACGAGTGATGTTTAGCAGCTCCATAAGATGGGAGTGACTGGAGGCGAATAACTTGAGATCATCCATATAGAAAATGTGGGTCACTTTTGTACCTCCTTTCTGAAGCTGAAATCCCCTCCCGGAGCCTTCCAGTAAGGTAATGAGAGGGTTCAGAGAGAGGCAGAACAGACCAGACCAGGTAGACCAGATTGGACTCAAACAATCGCCCTGGAAGATACCCTTACTTTTGCGTGTGTGTGTGTGAATGCGACAATTACAACATTTACACAAGTGTTGTAAAAATATCTTTTGTATATTTATAGTCCCTTTTCAGTAACCATTCATGGACACATTTTTTTGCTTTTATTTTAGGTAGGGCATGGATATTAAGTTCCTCGTTAACTTTATTATACAGGTATCCGCCAAGATAGCAAAAGATATAACGTCACCCTGTCTTACACCTCTCTGCAATTGGATAGGTTTCGTACTCTGGTTCTGTACTCGGCCATCGTAGCCGTACTGTACAAGCACTTTAGCACTTCGATATACCGGCAGTCAACTTGGCACCGCTGAAGGGACTGCAGCACCGGCTAAATTTTGACGGAATCAAAGGTTTTCTCATAGTCCACATATGCCAGACATAGTGGCAAATTGTACTCCTCAGACTTCTGTACAATTTGTCGAAGGGTACGTATGTGGTCTATGGTGCTATTGCCCTTTCGGAAACTGGCTTGTTCAGGAGGCTGAAAGTCGTGAAGACTGCGCGCGAGACGATTTGTAATGACTCACGAAAACAGCACGTAGACGCAGCTCAGAAGGGAAATCGGTATGTAGTTCTTCAAGAGAGCGTTGTCACCTTTCTTGAAGAACAAGACCACCGCACTTCTGCTCCACGCCTCTGGTGTAATGCCACCATAGAGGACGGAATTAAAGAGCTTCTGAAGGACTCCAAGTACCAGTTTTCCACCCACTTTCAGAAGCTCCGCTGTAATTCCATCCCCCCCCCTGGGGAATTGCCGTTTTTAAGGTGCTGGAGAGCCATTCTACTCTCGTTTAGACTGAACTCCGAGATATCATAGGAATAGTGTCGGATAAGACTCGTTCTTGGATCATTACTCACACTTGCGTGTGGCTCCAACGATGATGTGTACAGCTGCCCATAGAACCTCTCAATCTCACTTAAAATCTCAGGTGTCCCGGAAACGACACTGCCACACTCGGTCTACAGCTTCGAGAGTTGGCTCTTTCCGGCAGACAGATCTCTAGCAAAGACTTTGGAGCCCTGGTTTCGCTCGATCGCTTGTTCAATACGAGCAGGATTAATGTTGCGTAAGTCCCGCCGCATACATTTGGAGATCTGTCTGTTCAGTTGCCTGTATGCTGTCAAATCTGTTGAAGAATGTGGCTTCATCTCCCGTCTAACAGCCATGAGATTAAGAGTGTGATCGGAGAGTTTTTGTGTTCTTCTGCGGCGGGTCTTGCAAAACTTAGCTCGGACCGCATGGACAGTTTCCACGAGCTTGTCATTCATATCGTCCACTGCATTGCCATCTTTTAGGCACTGAAAACGGTTTCGTAACTCGAGCTGAAAGGTTTCGGGACTCTGGAACAGAGCACGAGGGGGACGGAGCGTTGACTTCATTAGACGTGACCTCTCCAACTTAACGTTTAGGTTCAGTGTGCCTCTCAACATTCCGTGATCGCTGCCGGTTTTCACCCTCGCGATCACTGAGACATCACGGAATAGTTGTCGTCTGGTCGTCATAATGAAGTCAATCTCATTTTTTGTCGAACCGTCGGGGCTCGACCAGGTCCACTTTCTGTGGGACCGATTCTGAAAGAAAGAGTTCATCATAAAGAGTCCGTCTTTCTCCATGAAGTCGGCCAGCTGCTGGCCCCTCGGGTTCCGTTGCCCTATTCCGAATTTCCCTACTTTCAGCTCACCGTTCTCTTTTGTGCCTAGTTTTGCGTTGAAGTCTCCCATCAACACCGTATAGTGGGTTTTGGAGGAATGCGTGGCTCTAGAGATATCCTCATACATTTCCTCCACCTCCTCATGCCGAGGTTGGTGTGTAAACCTGTATGAACTTCAGCGAATACCGTTTGGTTATTCTGAGTATAAGGTATGCAACCCTCGTTGACACACTCCCAATCTTTACAACGTTGTTAACGAGAGACTTGTGGACGATAAATCCGACACCTCCTTGGGACAGAGATGGTCACCCTTAAGGTGATAGAACAAGTTGCTGAATTCGAGGATTACCGTGTCCTCACCCTCTCTTCGGACCTCGGATAGTCCTATAATCTTCCAGCTCCAGGATCTTCTCGTCAGTCCTCAGGGTGCGTGTGTTATAAGTTGCCAGGTCGAGTCATCATAGGTGGCAACCGAACCTCCACCGGAGATTTTTAGCACCCCCTGCCCCGCCGTTACCATGGTCGCCACCGTAGCCAGGAATAGCGGGGCCACCGGGGACTGGGGGCCGTCTTTTAGTAGCTTTATCCATTTGGGGGGTATATTTCCATAGTTGCCACGCTTGGCGAGCGGGTTGGCAACCGCAGTTTTTTTATTGTCATATTTCTGTGACTGTCGCCTTTTACGACACCCACGGATATGGGGTAGTAGATATTCTTAACCGTCACTACTCGGCAATATAGTAATACCCGAAATTAATGCTAAGTTTATGATCGATACCGGAAGTTCTAGATCTTTCATAAGCCCTTCTAAAACAAACGAATATTATGCGAACTTTAAACGTTACGAACCATTTGAAGTTATCAGACACACACACATCTAGTTTACATGATGAAGTAATAATTATACCCCAATTCCCGACTTTCAATAGTGATCAGATACATAACTTTTATGTATATGATGTCGAGGCCCGTTATGATGGACTTATTGGAAGCGATCTTCTTAAACAATTAGATTCCACAATAGATGTGAAAAATCAAATATTTCAGACAAATTACGCAAATATATCCATAATTTTCAATCCAACTAACGAAATTATAATAGTCCCGCTTTACTTAAAAATAAGGAAATTCAGGACTTAATAATTTTTTTTAAAGAATTAGACGAATTGCAAAAAGGGACGTTTAGACGACCACCTCCGGAATCTATGTCTATTTCAATCACAGACTCTGAGAAAGTTATTGTTATAGAGGATAGCAACTCAGATAAAACACTATCAATTAAATCCGATTATTCCATACCGTACGCTTTTAGTAGCACATTTACCGCCTCCGCAAAATCCTCTAGTATAGAAACCGCACGTTCAAGACAAGACACTGAATCAGAGGGAATCCCAATCTTACATGAAGCGATCGACACCAAACCCAATTAAATTTTAGTGTTCAGCTGGAACATAGACAAATTATCTGTAAAAAACTTGTCTAGGGAAAAACAAAGAATCTTAGAAGTTAAGTGTACTTACTTTAAACCAACCAGATTTAGTAAAGCAATTTCTGAAATAATACATTAGGAATACAACTAAATACTTCATTTATTTCGAAAATGAAGAACATCATTAACAATTCTCGGAATTAGTAATTTTCTTGTTTAAAAAGGAACTTGTACAATTTTTTTCATGCACTAAAAGAGTCGTATACGTAGATAGTGAAAAGGAATAAAAAGATATCGTTCAGAAATATCATGTCGGAAAAATTTGCCATCGTGGTATTAAAGAAACCCTAGCCCATATCAAACGGTCATACTTTTAGCATAATATGGCCCAAATCATAGCCAATGTAATAAATTCATGTGATGCATGTAAAAGTATGAAATATGATAGACCCTATGAAACCTAAACTCAAACTGACACAAACCCAAAATAAAACTCTTGAAGAAATTTTCATTTCAAATTAGGACAGGCCTTTCAAATAATTAATAGGGCGTCTCCCGAAGTCGTAAGAGCTCTTCTTAAATATTTTTCTTTTTACGGTGTCCCCCACAAAATAAGTTCAGATCCAGGATCTGCGTTACTTAAAGAATTGCTTTCCTTTTATAAAACAGAACTTCATATCGGTACCCCTAACAACCCTAACTCTATGGAATTGGTTAAAAGATTCTACTTAACCATCTTAAAAATATATAGATTAGCAAAGCATGAACACAAATATACAGACGCCCCTTCCATAATGACATACGCAATAATGGCATACAATCATAGCATACACTCTGCCACAGGCTTAACACCCTTTGAAATTTTGTTAGGACATACAGAAACACGCATACATTTGACGCAGGTTTTGAAACAGTATTTACAAAAGTTAGTTAAAGAACACGTAAAGCGTACTAAATATCTCTATAAACATCTAACAGAACAAGCCATACAAAAGAAAGAAAAGATTATTTAAAAGAGAGGTGGAGAAACGGAATTTAAGATAGAACCTGGAGACACTATTTATGCAAAAGGTACTAATAAAAGATGTAGTAAAGATAAGCCACGTTTTTAAAAGGCCCTAGTAACCGACACCATTAGTATAATTATTAATCCCGTAAACACTAAAGGACGTGATAGTAAAGCTCCTCTAAAGAATGTAAAACACCCTTCACAGGCACCTCCTGCTCATCCTGGTAGTAGCCACGGTGACACGCCTCCAGGCCCTTCAACTTCAGGAATTAAATAGCAATCCTGGAATACTGTCTGTGAAGCAAGGAACTGCCATCATCAGTAGTGATAAATGGATCATTGCCAAAA